TAGTAGTAGTAGTGGTCGTAGTCGTGGCAGTAATAGTAGTAGCCGTGGTGGTAGTAGTAGTAGTAGTAGTCAGAATAACAATAGTGGTTGCTTTTGTAAAGCTAAGTGTAGAAGTGATAGCAGCGGTAGTGGTAGCGGTGGAAGTAGAAGTGGTAATCGTAGCAGCGATGGTAGCATTAGTGAAATTAGTCGTAGTGGAAGTAGTAGTACTAGTACTATTAATAGTCGTAGTAGTAGTAGTAGTAGTAGTAGTAGTAGCAGTAGTAGTAGTAGTAGTGGCAGTGGTAGTAGTAGTAGTAGTAGTAGTCGTAGTAGTAGTGGTGGTGGTGGTAGTAGTAGTAGTAGTAGTAGTGGTATCAACCGTAGTAGTAGTAGTAGTAGTAATAGTAGTAGTAGTGATAGTAGTACTAGTAATCGTCGTAGTAGTAGTAGTAGTAGTAGTCGTCGTCGTAGTCGTAGTCGTAATCGTATCAGTAATAGTAGCGGTCGTGGTGGTAGTAGTAGTAGTAGTAGTCAGAATAGTAATGGTTGCTTCTGGTGTAAACCAGAGTGTAGTAGAAATAATGTTGGTAGTGGTAGTGGTGGTAGTGCTAGTGGTAATGGTAGCAGAGGTGATATTAGCAGTAAAGTCAGCAGTAGTAGTAGTAGTAGTAGTCGTAGTAGTAGTAGTAGTAGTAGTAGTAATAGTAGTAGTAGTAGTAGTAGTAGTAGTAGTAGTGGTAGTAGTAGTAGTAGCAGTAGTCGTAGTAGTTGTAGCAGTAATAGTAGTAGTAGTAGCAGTAGTAGTAGTAGTAGTAGTAGTAGTAATAGTAGTATTGTTAGTAGAAGTAGTAGTAGTAGTAGTAGTAGTAGTAGTAGTAGTAGTAGTAGTAGTAGTAGTAGTAGTAGTCGCAGTAGTAGTAGTAGTAGTAGTAGTAGTAGTAGTAGTAGTAGAGTAGTAGAGTAGAAGGAGTAGTAGTAGTAGTAGTAGTAGTAGTAGTAGTAGTAGTAGTAGTGGTATAGTAGTAGTAGTAGTAGTAGTAGTAGTAGTAGTAGTAGTAGTAGTAGTAGTAGTAGTAGGTAGTAGGTAGTAGGTAGTGGTAGTAGTAGTAGTAGTAGTGGTAGTAGTAGTAGTAGTAGTAGTAGTAGTAGTAGTAGTAGTAGTAGTAGTAGTAGTAGTAGTAGTAGTAGTAGTAGTAGTAGTAGTAGCCGTCGTGGCACACATGATAAGAATGAAGAGGATGGCGGGGGGGACGAGGAGGATCGGGAGGAGGAGGACGACGACGACGACGAGGGGGAGGAGGAGGACGAGGAAGAAGACGACCAGGAGGTGGAGGACGAAGAAGAAGGAGGAGGATGAGGAGGAAGAGGGCAAGGAGGAAGGGGAGGAGGATGATGACGAGGGCGAGGAGGATGGGGGGGGAGGGGGCAGAGGAGGACGGAGGAGAAGGAGGACGAGGAGGACGGGGAGGAGGGGGACGAAGATGATGAGGAGAGGGAGGAAGAACAGGGGGGGAAGGCGGAGGACACACGCAAACCCCCTATAGGGTTGCGTTGTGTTGTGTTGTGTTGTTCGCCCCCCCCCTCCCATCTCCCCCCCCGGGGGGGCTGCCCCGCCTGTATCAACAACAACCACAACAACCTCAACAACACCAACACCAAACACAAGAACATCAAGAACAGCAACCACAACACCAACACCAACAACCAACAACGACAACGCTATACACAACACCGAAAGCAGCACCAACAACAACAGCGACAACAACAGCAACAGCTACACAAACAGCAACAACCACACCAACAACAAAGCCAACAACAGCAACGACAACAGCAACAACAGCAGCAGCAGCAGCGACAACAACAGGAATAACACCACCAACAACAACACTCATTTTAAGACAATTCGTTCCGATCTGCTTGCGTGCCATTCACCGCGTATATCCCGAACCCGCGGTACCCCCCTCTTCGTCTTCGATCGTACCCCCTTCGGGGTACACCTTCCTTAACTGCCACGTGCAATTAGCGCAGGCCCTAGAACAGGGGAGGAGAGGACGTATGGGAGGGGGAGGGAGAAAGATGGAGCACGGGAGAAACTAGGAGGAAGGGGGTTTGGAGCAGAAAGCACGTGGCAGAACCAGACGGGCAGATCGGGCGGGTAGGCCCAGACGGGCGGTTCGGTAAGGCGGGCCCAAGCGGCCAGGTCGAGCACGCGGGTTGCCGAAGCGTGCGTCCCGCGTGAATCGAGCGGAAGTCTCGAGCGATAGCGCGACTCCCAAGTAAGTCGTGAGAAAGTCGCAAGCGAGAGCGTGATTCCTGAATGTCGAGGGGGCGGCGCTTGACAATATTGCGAGGGAGTCCCACGCGAGAGGGCGAGTCCTGCATACACCGTGAGAAAAGACCGCGCGAGAGCGCGATTTTGAAATACACAGTGAGGAAGTAACAAGCGGGAGGCGTTGTTGTTGTACTTCGGAGGCCAGGGGCGCAGTTTGGTGACACCACACGTTCCCTGATTGTAAACAGGGTGCGAACCCTGGGAGGGCACTTCAATTGAACACGTACAATGTTTACTGAAGGGGATCAACAATAATTAAGTATTCTTCAGAAGAGAGAATTCAAAAGCAACAACAACAGCAGCAACAACATCACCAACAACAACGACCTCAACAGCAATAACCTTAACAACAACAACAACAAACAAACACACCAACAATAAAACCAACAGCAACAACAGCAACACCAAAACATACAACAACACTGTTGAGACTGAACGCTCTCAAAGGCCTCGCATATCAACCAGCATGTATCTCCCAAATCCTCGATACCCGCCCACCTCGTCTTTGATTGTACCCCCCTGGGGGGGATAGCTCCCTTCCCTGGCACATGTAATTGGCGCAGTCCCCAAAACAGGAAAAACATGAGTAATGGAAAAGAGAAAGAGAGAGAGCGAGGAGGAAGGGAGTGGGGGGAATGAGAGAGGAGGGAAGGGGGCAAGAGTAAAGGAGAGACGGAGGACGGGAGGAGTGAGCGAGAGGGCTTAGCAAGATGAGATGGCAAGGAAGTTGAATACATGATGAGGAACATCCCGAACGATAGCGCGATGTCAGAGCGATGTGTTAATGCATCGTATGGAAGTCTCAGGCGAGAACGTGGTTTCCGGATACATTGCATGGAGGCCTCGAGCGGGTGCGCTATTCTACAATACATGGTGAAGAAGTGTCAGGCGGGAGCCGTTGTTGTTGTGGTTCGGGGGCCAGGGGGCCATTCTGAGGCGCAATACTTCCCCTTGTAAGAAACGAGAGTGCGAAGTCCGGGAGGGGCATCTCAATGGAATATTTCACAGGTTGCCAGAGGGGGGATCAACAACAACTGTGTTTAGAAATGTGTGTTCAACTACACCAATAACAACTGCTAGCAACTTAGCACCACACACGGACTACGGGAACGCACTCGGAATCGCAGGTACGGCGGTCACGTAGGAATGCGCGGGGTAAATGAGAGACGCCGCCGTCTGACGTTCTTCCACTCGGCTCGCAGAAACTCGATCATACTTCGTCCCACGGTACGCAGGTCCCTGGGCGTCACAATCGAATTAACTGTGCAGTGGCATCGCGCGTCGAGACAAAACAATAGTGCACCTATCCACCTGTTCCTGCTCGACGGGACTCAACCCCACTCTGCAGCTGGCCGGACTGGCCCTGCTGCTCATGCGGCAGGCGACGGCCCCGCCATGGCGGCGCCTCCCTCAGGGAGGGGGCGGGATGCCTAACGACTTGTGCCCCCGGTGGCTTGAGCCAAGATGGCCACGGGAGAAGGGGGAGGAACGGGACGCGACAAGAAGGTTACGTATTCGACAATAGGCCCCTGGTTACCCACCGGCCCTGGGTGGTCTTCCAGGCGGTCCTCCGCGGTCCTCGCCAGTCTTCTGGCGGTCTTCGGCAATCTTCGGCGGTGTTCTGCGTTCTTCTGACGGTCTTCTGGCGGTCTTCGGCGATTTCGTTGGTTTCCGGCGGTCTTCGGCGGCTCTCGGCTTGAAAGCAAGACGTCTGCGGTCAACAGGGGCCCACGATCGAACACCTAAGGAGGGGGGGATTCGAAGGGGAAAGAGGTGGCGGGGGGGGTGAAGGGTGCGAGCTTCAGGGGATGCGGACAAAGGAGGGAGGGGCGGAGCCCAGCGGAGCGAAAAGCTGCGTGAGCGTATACGCGTTCGGAAGCCCGCGGGGATTTCTGGGATCGGCGCTAGATCCTCCCGTGCCTGGCGCGAGGAGCGTGCCGGGGGCGGCGCCGGAGGCGCCGACGCAAGAGATCCGCGCGGGCGTCCCTATGCTGAGGCCCGTTTTCTTCGAGGGAGGGCCGAGCCCACGTGGTGCCAGGCGCCCCCAGAACCGAATCGATCAGTCGGATCGGCGATCGAAATGAATCGGATCGGAAAAGAAATCGACAGCCGAGTCGGGACAAGCCGAATCGGCAGGGATCGGCAGGTCAGTGGGCCTCCGTTGAGAGAGATCGGAGCCCAAAACGGAATCCGAAGCCGAATCGAATCGGAATCGGAGGCCATCGAAATCGAATCGAGCCGAGTCGGAGGCGTCGAAATGAATCCTGTGGGGGGAGGAAATAGGAACAAGGAAGAATCAGGGGTCGGGTTATGTTGCTCCCATCCTACTTAATGACCACATCCCAGAAATAATCTCGAGCACCCGGAAAAGTGTCGAAAGAGTGTCGAAACAGTGTCTCCCAGGGCCCGACACGTGAAAACCCTAGAGTTTTTGGGTGCTTTCCTGGTGCTCGAAATTCTTCCTGATGATCAAGGCTAAAGTAGGTCGGAACATCACAAGGGCTGGGGTGAGTGAAGAGGCCTTGGGACACACAGATAAATAGACACACATAACAGGATTCCCCATATGTTCCCATATTTTCTGGGTTTTTGTCTTCCCCCCAATTCCCATATTTTCCAATGCTTTCTGGGGAAGCGACGACGACTTGTGTCTGTGTGTGCTTCTCCCTCCTGGGTGATGGGGGACCTGCGGCACCTCGACGATCTGCTCCTGGTACTGCACGGTGGGAGGCCCGACGAAGGTGCGCTCCCGGACCTCCGTCTTCGGCACTGGGGAGTGTACTCTTTTCGATGCCAGCCCCCGCGCAATCCTCTTCCTCCTCCTGCTCCCCCCTCTTCCTCATGCTCCTCCCTCTTCCTCCTCCTCCTCCTCCTCCTCCCCCCCCTCCTCCTCCTCCTCCTCTTTGCACCCTCCTCCCCCTCCTCTTCCTCCTCCTCCTCTTTTCCATCCTCCTCCTCTTCGTTCCCTCCCTTCAATGACACCGTATGAAGACTTCTCTCCCCTCCCCCCCCCGAAGCTGACCAAGCAATGGCCCGTCCCCCGCCACGTAATGTTCTACACATACAAGGGTCAAGTTGTTCGTCTTGCTGGCTGTTTTTGTTCCTATCGATCGCTTTCGCTCCCCCGGCGCGTATAGTTTGTTCCACACATGGTGTGCACTAGCTGTGTTTGCCTATGCGATGTTTAATCCAGATGTTGCCTGTCTTTCCAGAAAGGCGATCTCCCTTCATCTTTAGCTGAATTTCTGCACTTCTGGCTCTTCCAAAATGGCGTCCCTGTCTCATCCTTGGCGCTGGGTCCGTGTGCTCGGCCAATTTCAATGTGTTTGGCCCTTCTCACTGATGCTACCGCTGCAGCGCATGACACGTACTGCGGCGTTGTGTTTTGTGCTGCTCTCTGATACCATGCTTTGCGGTTTAATGCTTTGTGATGTAGCGATTCACAACGCAATGCCACGCCATGCTCTGACATGCTACGCTCTGACGTGATGTTCTTCTCGCCATGCTGTGCCGTGCTCTACCATGCATCGCGTACCATCTCGGGATCATTGCGCTGCTCGACATCCGACGGCTCGACTAGAGAGGAGAGCTACGCCATGGTAAGGGATGCGAGGGAGGGGAAGGACACCAGATCCTCTCTCTCTCCCTCTCCTCCCCCCCCTCCTCTCATCCTCCTCATGTCGACGTCTGCGTGCTCCAGCAATTTGGGATGCTAACTGCGCCCGCACGCCTTGTCCACCGGGATGTTCAAGAATGCTCGGAAGCGCGCTGAACTTCAAGCTGTGCGGCGTGCCCGCTGCAAAGTATCCAGAGGGAGCTCGGTCGAAAGCTCTCACTCCCCCACCCGCGCATTTGCAATGTTTATTGCCTGATTGCCCCAAATCGTCTCGTGAGGACATTCCTCTTGCACTCCGCTTTTGGCTCGCCGCTTTTGGCTCCATGCCTTGGTGCAGACTGCCGCATGGGCCGACTAGAAGCAATGTATCTTCGATGGCGTATCGCTGCTTCGGCTGAGCCAGACGAAACTACAAGGTCGTGTTATGTCTGGCGGGTGTTGAACGTTGGGTCATGAACTGAGTAACCACACACACCGCTTGTTAATCTTGGCTAGATGCCTCTATGAGCTGGCCGAATCCTGCTTTGCGGTAATCATCGTGATCTGTCCCTGTGCATTCTGTCACATTTAGGTGCACCATGTACTCTCACAGGGTGCTCCATACTTAGCATCTCCGCCTAGAGCATCGCAAATTGCCTGGGTAACGACAGAACTTATCAATGCGATATTTGGTACAAACCCGTAAACGTACATTCGACCACAATACTTTGCACTGGATCAACCTTCCTGGGTGAAACTTACCATCGCCTCGCTTCGGTACTGATAGCTGGATTTGCGCTATGGCAATCGGGGGGAACTGCGAACTACATCGACCGTCATTCGAAGCTCAGCTGGCTTGGCGCAGTAGGCCAAACGATAAATCGAGCAAGTTTCAAGTCTTGGAGTTAGATGTCCTTCTGCAAATCTCCTTTTAAGCTATAACTTGCTCACGTTCCTCAGTGAACCGTCCTAGCAACATCCCGATGTGGGAAGGTACAGCTCAGCAGCCTAAAGCGACGAAGGAGTTTGGCAAACAAGCGCGGGGGGCGGGGGAGGGGTGCCTTCCAGCCAGAAGCACCTAAAGCAACTCATGCCGACGTACATCGGTTACCTGAACAAAATAGTTAAGCATTCAACCTGCCTCGATCTCGAGGGCTGCATGCAGCACCTCGATATTGTGGTAGACTGTCTTGCACCTGGAGGAGGAGGAGGTGGAGGAGGAGGCTCTGCGCCTGCGTCGGCTGCCACTGCTCGTCATTTGTTACACCCAGTGATCACAACGCTAAAGTTATGATAACGTCCGAATTCCAACATCGCCTCCCACATCTCGTTCGACAGCGCCAGAGCCCGCGGCCACTGACCACCTTTCACTCAAGCGCTGTTCCTCAGCGGTGTGGCCGACTAGCCTGTCGCATCGCGTCTGCGGAGCAGAGCGACGATCGCAAGGCTGTAGCTGGCTGCATTGGACTCCAGCTTCGCCTCCCGCAACTCGCTCAGCAGCGCAAGCGCCCGCTGCCACTGCTCGCCCTTCGCGCACGCGCTGACCCCAGCGCTGTAGCTGACTAGGGCTGACCCGTGGACTCCGTCCACGATATCTTTCTGGAATGATTCTCGGAGGAACGGGCTCCTGGGGGGGGGGCACCGGACGTGGCCATGTATGACAGCTGGGCCGTTTGAGCCCGCGAGGCTCTGGAAGGCGAAGGCTCCGAGGTGATGGCAAGATGCCTGGAGGAGAGCGTGGATTCGACGGGGCGCCTGAGCGGTGCGAATGGCCAAGATGGCTCAAGATGGCGTTCAAAGCGGTGAGAACGGCGAATGCTGCCCAAGATGTCGGGGGTCCGAGCGGCGCGAATGGCCAAGACGGTCCAAGATGGCTCTCAGAGGGCCTCCGAGGGCCACTATCGCTTACTGTAGGCTCGCTCTGGGCGCCAAAGGGCCCTGCGGACAATTTTTCTAAGAAAAAGTGCTTGCAGACCCCTTTGGGGGCCACTTGACATGGCATGGTGACGTTTTCGTGTCGTGACGGCTCCGGTGGGTTGCACGCGCGGCTGACAGCTGGGCCGTTTGAGCCCGCGAGGCTCTGGAAGGCGAAGGCTCCGAGGTGATGGCAAGATGCCTGGAGGAGAGCGTGGATTCGTCGGGGCGCCCGAGCGGTGCGAATGGCCAAGATGGCTCAAGATGGCGTTCAGAGCGGTGAGAACGGCGAATGCTGCCCAAGATGTCGGGGGTCCGAGCGGCGCGAATGGCCAAGACGGTCCAATATGGCTCTCGGGTCCATCTTGGGGCGTCCCGGAGCCCTCTGGGGCCGTCTGGGGGGCCTCTTGGGGCCCTCTTGGCGCGTCTTGGGCCCATCTTGGGGCGTCCCGGGGCCCTCTGGGGCCGTCTTGGGCTGTCTTGGGGCGTCTTGGGATCGTCTGGGGGCCCTCTTGGCCCGTCTGGAGGCCCTCTTGCGGGCCTCGTCGGTGGTCTTGGAGCGGTCTTGGGGACCTCTTGGGCCGTCTTGGAGCGCAGGGACGGCGAAAAGGGGAGAATGCGAGAAACATCGAAAAACACAATGGAAGTCGACGATTTCTGGGCCCTGCTGGGAAGCCTCTTGGGAGGCCTCTTGGGGCATTTTGGCCGCCTCTGGGGCCGTCTTGGCCCAATCTTCCGCGTCTTGGGCCCATCTTGGGGCGTCCCGGAGCCTTCTGGGGCCGTCTTGGGGGCCTCTTGGGGCTCTCTTGGCGCGTCTTGGGCCTATCTTGGGGCGTCCCGGGGCCCTCTGAGGGGCCGTCTTTGGGGGCCGTCTTAGGCTGTCTTGGGGCGTCTTGGGACCGTCTGGGGGTCCTCTTGGCCCGTCTGGAGGCTCTCTTGCGGGCCTCGTCGGTGGTCTTGGAGCGGTCTTGGGGACCTCTTGGGCAGTCTTGGAGCGCAGGGACGGCGAAAAGGGGAGAATGCGAGAAACATCGAAAAACACAATGGAAATCGACAATTTTTCCCGCTCGGGGCCCTGCTGGGAAGCCTCTTGGGAGGCCTCTTGGGGCATTTTGGCCGCCTCTGGGGCCGTCTTGGCCCAATCTTCGGCGTCTTGGGCCCATCTTGGGGCGTCCCGGAGCCTTCTGGGGCCGTATTGGGGGCCTCTTGAGGCCCTCTTTGCGCGTCTTGGGCCCTCTGGGGGCCCTCTTGGCGTGTCTTGGGCCTGTTACGCTTTTTGACCAGAATCGCCCTTCTCGCACGCGCGGGTCCCTGCATTGTAGTATAGATGACGTTGGGCTCCAGCTTCGCCTCCCACATCTCGCTCAGCAGCGCCAGAGCCCGCGGCCACTGACCACCTTTCACTCAAGCGCTGTTCCTCAGCGGTGTGGCCGACTAGCCTGTCGCATCGCGTCTGCGGAGCAGAGCGACGATCGCAGGGCTGTAGCTGGCTGCATTGGACTCCAGCTTCGCCTCCCGCAACTCGCTCAGCAGCGCAAGCGCCCGCTGCCACTGCTCGCATTTCGCGCACGCGCTGATCCCAGCGTTGTAGCTGATGACGTCGGGTTCCAGTTTCGCCTCCCACATCTCGCTCAGCAGCGCAAGCGCCCGCTGCCGCTGCTCGCATTTCGCGCACGCGCTGATCCCAGCGCTGTAGCTGATGACGTTGGGCTCCAGCTTCGCCTCCCACATCTCGCTCAGCAGCGCAAGCGCCCGTTGCCACTGCTCGCCCTTCTCGCACGCGCTGATCCCAGCGCTGTAGCTGACTAGGGCAGACCTGTGGACTCCGTCCACGACATCAGCTCGACGTGGCCAGTTGAAGGCGCTCTCCACACCCTCCAGGACCTCCTGCTCTCCTGTGTTCCTCAGCTGCTGCTGCTGCTGCTCGGAGGTCATGCTGCTTCATCCCCCTCCTCCTCCTCCTCCTCCGCCTCCTCCTCCTCCTCCTCCTCCTCCTCCTCCTCCTCTTCCACCTTCTTCTCCTCTTTCGCTGGATTCTCCATGCCCTCGGTCGGCAATCGTCGATCCTACGACGACTCTCCCCAACAGAGAAACATCGAAGGCCCTCGGAGCGTCCAACATTGTTCTTTTGTGCCTTCGATATGCCGGTCGCCTCTCGTCCGCTCCCCCCCTCCTGGAAGCAATTCTGAGGCCACGTAGGGCTTCGTGGGGGCCGTTTGGGGATCTCTTGGGGCGTTTTTGCCTGCGATATGCCTGTCGCCTCTCGTCCGCTCCCCCGCTCCTGGAGGGAATTCTGAAGCCACTGAAGGCTTCGGGGGGCCGTTTCGGAGCCTCTTCGGCCTTCTTTTGGGCCTCCCGGGGGGGCCTGAGGGCCCTCTCGGGCCGTCTTGGGTGCCTCTTGGGCCGTCTTGGGGCCGTCTGAGACCCGCCTCGGCGCCTCTTGGGCTGTCTTGGGCCGTCTTGGGCCGCTCCTGGGGCCGTCTTGGGTGCCTCTTGGGCCGTCTTGGGCGCCTCCTGGGCCGTCCTGGGGCCGTCCTGGGGCGTCTTGGGACCGTCTTGGGGCCCTCCTGGCCCGTCTTGGGGCTCTCTTGGGGTCCTCTTCGGCCGTCTTGGAGCGGTCGGGGGGACTTCTTGGGCCGTCTTGGAGCGTCGGGAAGCCGAAGAGGCGAGGAGGCCGAAAACATCGAAAAACACAATAGAAATCAACGATTTCTGTCGCTCGGGGCCCTCTTGGGAGGCCTCTTGGGAGGCCTCTTCGGGCGTCTTGGACGCCTCTTGGGCCGTCTGGGGCGACTCTCGGGCGTCTTGGGCCCGTCTTTAAGCGTGCCGGGGCTCTCCGGGGCCGTCTTGGGGGCTTCTGGGGGCCCTCTCGACATGTCCTGGAGCCTGCCTGGGCGGCCCGGGGCGGCCCGGGGCCAGCCCGGGGCGGTTTCGGTGCATTGGGGCCTGCGCCCTTCTGGCACGCACTGGGCCCTGCAATGTAGTAGAGATGACGTCGGGTTCCAGTTTCGCCTCCCACATCTCGCTCAGCAGCGCAAGCGCCGGCTGCCACTGCTCGCCCTTCGCGCACGCGCTGATCCCAGCGGTGTAGCTGATGACGTCGGGTTCCAGTTTCGCCTCCCACATCTCGCTCAGCAGCGCCAGCGCTCGCTGCCACTGCTCGCCGTTCTCGCACGCGCTGATCCCAGCGCTGTAGCTGATGACGTCGGGCTCCAGCTTCGCCTCCCACATCTCGCTCAGCAGCGCAAGCGCCGGCTGCCACTGCTCGCCCTTCGCGCACGCGCTGATCCCAGCGCTGTAGCTGATGACGTTGGGCTCCAGCTTCGCCTCCCACATCTCGCTCAGCAGCGCAAGCGCCCGCTGCCACTGCTCGCCCTTCTCGCACGCGCTGATCCCAGCGCTGTAGCTGATGACGTCGGGTTCCAGTTTCGCCTCCCACATCTCGCTCAGCAGCGCAAGCGCCCGCTGCCACTGCTCGCCCTTCTCGCACGCGCTGATCCCAGCGCTGTAGCTGATGACGTTGGGCTCCAGCTTCGCCTCCCGCATCTCGCTCAGCAGCGCAAGCGCCCGCTGCCACTGCTCGCCCTTCTCGCACGCGCTGATCCCAGCGCTGTAGCTGATGACGTCGGGCTCCAGGGCTCAGCAGCGCTGCCACTCGCCCTTCTCGCATCCCAGCGCTCGCTCAGCAGCTCAGCAAGCGCCCGCTGCCACTGCTCGCCCTTCTCGCACGCGCTGATCCCAGCGCTGTAGCTGATGACGTTGGGCTCCAGCTTCGCCTCCCACATCTCGCTCAGCAGCGCAAGCGCCGGCTGCCACTGCTCGCCCTTCGCGCACGCGCTGATCCCAGCGCTGTAGCTGATGACGTTGGGCTCCAGTTTCGCCTCCCACATCTCGCTCAGCAGCGCCAGCGCCGCTGCCACTGCTCGCCCTTCTCGCACGCGCTGATCCCAGCGCTGTAGCTGATGACGTCGGGCTCCAGCTTCGCCTCCCACATCTCGCTCAGCAGCGCCAGCGCCGCTGCCACTGCTCGCCCTTCTCGCACGCGCTGATCCCAGCGTTGTAGCTGATGACGTCGGGCTCCAGTTTCGCCTCCCACATCTCGCTCAGCAGCGCCAGCGCTCGCTGCCACTGCTCGCCCTTCGCGCACGCGCTGATCCCAGCGTTGTAGCTGATGACGTCGGGCTCCAGTTTCGCCTCCCACATCTCGCTCAGCAGCGCCAGCGCTCGCTGCCACTGCTCGCCCTTCGCGCACGCGCTGATCCCAGCGCTGTAGCTGATGACGTTGGGCTCCAGCTTCGCCTCCCACATCTCGCTCAGCAGCGCCAGCGCCGGCTGCCACTGCTCGCCCTTCTCGCACGCGCTGATCCCAGCGCTGTAGCTGATGACGTCGGGCTCCAGCTTCGCCTCCCACATCTCGCTCAGCAGCGCAAGCGCCCGCTGCCACTGCTCGCCCTTCTCGCACGCGCTGATCCCAGCGTTGTAGCTGACTAGGGCTGACCCGTGGACTCCGTCCACGACATCGTTCTGAAGGAGGCCTTGGTTGGGCGGCGGAGGTGCTCCCGAACAGCTATCGACACCGCCACGTGGAGAGGCTTCACCTCCTCCTTCTAGGATCTAGGATCACCCGCGCAATTGTCGTGACACGGAAGGCCCCCATGTGACAGAATGCCGGACTCGGCCAGTTTTCGACCACGGCCATAGCAGCGCCGATGCCGAATATACGCAACGTCCCAGGAGTGGCATCCTAGAGACGGGGAGGACGGACGAAGAAGAAAGAAGGGAGAAACTCCGACACGTCTCGCTGTTTTGGGTCTACCGGCAGAGCCCTCGCCGCTGGATTCGCGTCGAGATCTACGGGCCATGAAGAGACCGCCAGGACGGAAAGCCAGTGCCAGTCAGGTGATGCGAGAGACGTTCCCTGCCCAAGGTGTCCCAATCCCAAACGCGCTCGCGTCGTTAACGAAATCACCCTGGGGCTCCAGGCAGAAGTCATGCGAGCTCCTGGGAGGCTCCAACGGGGCCCCAACTGCACCCCCAAAAAGGAATGGCGTCACTCCACTTGCTTTTGGGCTCTCTCAGAATGCACTTCAAGCCGTATTCGAAGCCTCCTTGTGGTCTCGTGGGGGCCGCTCCTGTCTACTCTGCGGCTTCAGGCGGGACTGAGGCGGCCTCCAGGAGCGCTCGGAAAGTGCCCAAAGTCGGCCTGGAGAGAATCCACAAGCAAGTGGCGTCACTCCACTTGCTGTTGGGCTCTCTTGGAATCCACTTGAAGCCGCTCTGGAAGCCCTTCTGGGGCCTCTTGGGGCCTACTTGGGCTTACCCTGGGGCTTCAGGCGGGTCTTAGGCGGCGCCTGAGAGCGCTCCGCAGGGCCTAAAGTGGGCCCAGAGAGAATCCCAAAGCAAGTGGAGTGATGCCACTTGCTTTTGGTCGGGCATGTCCTCCTACAGGCGAGCTTTCGAGGAAAAATTAAGATAGTCAAAACACATTCGAAAATAGCCCAACAAGAGTCGAAACATCGTCCTCCGACTGTTTTTTTGACTCTTTGTTGAATATTCCTCATTGAGAGGGACGGGCCCGACTGAACACTTGCTCCTGGGCTATCTTGGAGTCCTTTTGGAGCTCTCTGGGGGTCTCCCCTTGAAGCCTCTCGGGGCCCTCTCGGAGCTACCCTGGAGCTCCAGGCAGAAATTAAAACTTTCGGAGGTCCGTGCGGATTTCTTATCTCGGCGCTGGATCACCCTCCCCAGCGCGCGGAGCGCGCCAGGGGCGGCGTCGGAGGAGCCGCCAGGAAGGCCCGGCGCGGGTCCAGGAAATCCGCGCGGAAGTCCGAACGTTTATGTTCATGGCATTTTTCTTTCTCGATTGGTCGCCGACGCTCAGAAGCTAATCCGCGACCCAGGCAGCGAGGTGAAGCGTGAAGGCGCCGAGGACAAGGTGGCTCGTGCGTAGGGTGTCCCAGTTCGGTAGGGTCACATCGTCCGTCTGTTTTGGGCTTTTTGTGAACTGCATCGTGTGCCCTGGCTTCGGTTCTCTTGAAGCTGTCGTGGGAGCCTCTGGGCAAGTCTTGTCGGAACTCTGTTGGGCACTCTTGAGGCAGTTTAAAAAGATCGTGGGAGCCTCTTGGGGAAGCCGTGGGGTCCCTCTTGGCCCGTTTTCGGGCTTTCTTGGGCCGTCTTGGGGCTGGCTTGGAACCTTCTGGGTCCGGCTTGGGCCAACTTGGGGGCCTTTGGGACCCTTGGGCCTCTCTGGGACTTCTCTTGGGGCCCTCCGGGACCGTCTTGGGGCCGTCTTGGAACCGTCTTGGGGCTTTCTTGGGCCATATTGCAGCGCTCTTGGCAGCGTCTGGGGCCGCCCGAGCACGAGCTGGGAGGCCCCTGGGGCCGACTTGGGCGGCTGAAGCCGAAAAAAGGGATAACACGAAAGACATCGACAAAAACAATAGGAATTCGGCCTAAGCGCTCCCTGGGAGTCTCTTGGGGCGGTCCTGGGGCATCATGGGCGCCTCTTGGGCTGTCTGGGGGCCATGTTCGGCAATCTTGTGCCGTCTCCTGCGCCTTCGGGGCTGCTCCGAAGGCTACCGAGGCGGCTCCGTAGGCCCGCCCGGAGCGGCCCGGGCCCCGGGGCCCCCGGGACCGGCCCAGAGGGGACCCGCTGCCACCGCTCGCCATTCTCGCGCGCGCTGGCCGCGGCATTGTAGCAGAGATGACATTGGGCTCCAGCTTCGCCTCCCGCATCTCGCTCATCAGCGCCAGCGCCGCCTGCCACTGCTCGCCCTTCTCGCACGCGCTGATCCCAGCACTGTAGCTGATAGGGCGAACCCGTGGACTTCGTCCACGACCAGCAGGTCCCCCCTGGCGCGCCTCCACGTTGGGCCCCCGCCCAGGAAAAAGCCACCCCGAAGCCTTCGGTTCTTTTTCTGGCCGCCTTTCCGAAATTGGAAGGCGAGCGGTGACGCGCACTTCGCTTTTGAGAGCCCCTGTGTGAAGGGCTGGTCACGTCACCGCTCGCTCTTGGGAGCTGTGCCTGGGAGAGCTCTCTACGCTGCGGCTCGCTCTTGGGAGCCTTGGTGAGAACAGCTTGTACTTCACCGATCGCTCTTTTAATCGGCGTCTCTGGGCCTGATTGGTGGTCCTTGTGGGGGCCTTTTGCAAGCCATTCTGGGGCTTTTTTGGACTGCTCTGGGAGCGTTTTGGGACGTCTTGGGGCAATTTGGGGCCGTCACGGCGCGTCCGGGAGGCCTTGGGACCGTATTGGCGCTCTCTTGAGGCTGCCTGAGGCCGTCTTTGAAGGGGCCCCAGGACACGCAAATAGATACACACAAATAAAAAGATTCCCCACATTTTCCCATATTTTCTGAGTTTCTGTCTTCCCCCCCCACTTCCCATATTTTCCCATATTTTCTGGGGAATCGACGATTAATTGTGTCTGTGTGTTTTTTTCCCTCCTGAGTCTTGGGAGCCTCTTGGGGCACCCTCGGAGCTCTCTTGGGGCCGCCTTGGGGTTCTGTGAGGCAGTTCCAGGGCTCGCTGGCGTCGTCTTGGGGCTCTTGTGGGCCGTCCTGGGGCCCTCTTAGGGGCCGCTGGCGTCTTCTTGGGGCGATTTGGGAGGCCTCTTGGCGCATCCTGGGCCGCGGAGGAGCACACAAGGCGGGCACGCTGAACATGTACGTTTTCCGATCGGAGTTTGACGATTTGTGCCTCTTTGGCGTGCGCTCGGGGCCTTATTGGGGCGTCTTTGCGGCCTCTTGGATCGTCGTGGAGCCCCCCCCGGAAGGCTTCGGGCCCTCGTGGGCCGTCTCGGGACCCACTGAGGCCGTCTTGGAGCGCTCTTGGACGGTCTGGTAGCCCCTCTGGAGCGCCTCTGGGACCGGCCTGAGCGATTCGGCCCCATGGTGGCGCCGTAAAGGGGCGATGTTGTGCACTTGAGGACCTAGGCCTCTCGCACGCGCTTCCACCGGCCATGTAGGAGAGATGACGTCGGGCTCCAACTTCGCCTCCCACATCTCGCTCAACAACGCCAGCGCCGGCTGCCACTGCCCGTCCTTCTCGCACGCGCTGATCCCAGCGTTGTAGCTGATGACGTCGGGCTCCAGCTTCGCCTCCCACATATCGCTCAGCAGCGCCAGCGCCCGCTGCCACTGCCCGCCCTTCTCGCACGCGCTGATCCCAGCGTTGTAGCTGATAGGGCTGACCCGTGGACTCCGTCCACGACATCTTTCTGGAATGGTTCTCGGAGGAACGGCGCAGATTGTACCGAAAATCTACAAACACGGCGGCGGCTCGGGCGGCGGCAGCGAGACCGCGCCTTCGTGTCCGAGCTCTTGCAGCGCTGCAGCAGCTTGGCCCAGCGCACTGCTCGTTCACCCCCCTCCTATTGAGGACAGTTTCGAAGTCTCTCGGGGATGTGCGTCGAAGTCGAAGCCCATCTGAGGCGTCTCAGGAGCGCTCGGGGAAGGGCTCGGGAGGCCATCGGGGAAAGCCACCGAAAGCGCCGGGGAGGCTCGCAAGGATCTACAGGGAGGGCCCAAGAGAGCTTCAAGAAAATTTGAAATCCAGTGAACTCTTAAGAGAAACCGCTGTTGGGTCGGCCATCACCTCCGGGCGCGCCTTGATGGTGCGATCCAGTCGCATCACCGCCAACGGCAGGGTTTGCTCGCCATGTCCCATTATGTTCGCCCAGAGGGTCTGTCGAGGCCTTCGGGCGAACAGAACGGGACAGGGCAAGGAATGGGGAAGACATGTCCGAATCTCCTGGGCCCCCCAGATGCTCGTCCGAAGAATGCGGAGAGGTCCCAGGGTCATATCAATTGGCTGCTGTCCCAGGGGTCCGGTCTGCTTGGCCCGAAGAGTTTGCCAAGGCCCCTGGGGGAACAGAATGGCACAGCATATCGGGCAAAGGGGGGCGGTAGCTGGCCTGTCAGACCCGGCGTTCGTCTTCTGCCCAAGCGGCGCGGGGCCCACGGGCCCCAGGGTTGGCGTCCCGCTGGGATTCCTCTTGTTCGCCCACAGGGTTGGAGGAGGCCTCCAGGCGAACAGAATGGGGCAGGACAATGAATGTGGGAGACTTGTCGCAAGCTCCCAGCCCCCCCAAGTGTGCGCCCGAAGGGTGTGGGGCCGCGTTGGCTCCCTCAAAGGGCCGTCTTGGAGCCGTCTAGGCCCGTCTTGAGGGCGCCGTTTGCCCTGATGGGGCCGTCTTGGTTCGTCGTGGGCCCCTCATGGGCGCGTCCGTAGGCCGTCCTGGGCCCATCGGGGTCCTCGTGGGGCTGTCTTGGAGCCGTCTGGGACCGTGAGGAGGCCGCCTTGGAGTCGTCTTGGGCCCCTCCTGTGCGCCTCCTTGGGCCGTCCTGGGCCCAGCAGGGGCCGTGTTGGCACCCTCTTGGGGCTGTCTTGGAGCCGTCTTGAGCCGTCGCAGCGCGCCTTGGGTTGTGCTGGGTCCGTCTTGGCCCGTCTTG